TGTTTAACGACCGATATGTGGACGTCACGAAATAATGATTCTTACCTAGCCGTTACGGGTCATTACGTAGATAAAAATTTTATCCTTCAGTCGGTTTTACTGGAATGTAAAGTATTTGAGAGCAGTCACACGGCACTTCATATAGCACAAGAATTAAGAAATGTGGCTCAAGATTGGAACATTTTAGATAAGGTCCTCCTTGTAGTGTCGGACAACGGGGCTAATATAAAAAATGCCATACTTCAATTAGAATGGAGACATTTTGGCTGTTATGCACACACACTTAACCTAGCAGTACAAAAAGTGTTATCCCACTCAAACGTAAATAGCATAATAGGCAAAGTAAAAGCCATAGTATCCTACTTCAAAAGAAGTAATTTAGCCTGGAATAAATTAAAAAAGTACCAGGAGCAGGCCAATAAAGTAGTGAAGAGGCCAATTCAAGATGTCGCTACAAGGTGGAACTCCACATTTTACATGATAGAGAGGTTTGTCGAACTGAAAGACGAAATCAAATGTGCTTTGAGTAATTTAGACACTGGCAATTTGATTAATCTTACTACATATGAATGGGACATTTGCCAGTCTTTGGTAGTAGTGTTACAACCATGTGAAGAAGTGACAAGAGAGATGAGCGGACAGAAGTATGTTAGTGGAAGCTCGGTTATCCCCTTAACGATTGGTCTTACCAACGCTCTCAAAGAAATCGCAAGTCAGACATATCGGCAAGAAAATAATATTGACATTTTTCCTGATGAAGTGGAAATGTGTCGACAGGATCTGCTTTCAGAAATAGGCACGCGGTTTTCTAATTTGGAACAAAGCCGAACTTATACCGTCGCTATGTTTTTAGACCCGAGATACAAGTTATACTTTGAGAACGAAAATGTTGCAGACAGCACTAAAAAGTATATTGTGGGCTTAGTAACCGCGATGATAAATGAAAATGAAAAAAATCAGTCTTCAGCATCCACTTCTAATATATCAGATAGCCAGGGGAAAAAATCTAACAGCCTATTATGGAAACACTATAATAAACAAATGCACAATGTGCGGCCAGCTGGCACAGCCAATAGCAGAGCCATAATTGAGACGCAAAAATATTTAGATGACACAGTTTTGTCTCCAGACACAAATCCTTTGGAATGGTGGCGAATAAATCAGCAAATATATCCAAATTTAGCCAAACTAGCCAAAATTAAATTAAATGCAATGGCTTCTAGCGTGCCTTGCGAACGTCTATTTTCAGTAGCAGGGAACATATTGACGGAAAGGAGATCCCGACTCGGGAGTCGAAAATTAGAGCAATTGTTGTTTCTCCAACAAAATAAAAAATGATGATTGAGAATTCTATATATATATATATAATAAAAAAAAGTTGTACATATATAAAATGAAATGAAATCTTTTAACTACGCCTGCTAATACTATATTTCACAACTAGCTGATAAATGACCGTAACACTATTAGTAGCAGACAGTCCTAAGCCTGTGATTAACAAAACAAAGTAGGAAGGAAAGATTTCATTTATAAAAAGCCGTGCAAGATTGTGGTACACACACTGTACGATACGATTGCCACCAAATACTTTCAAGTATTTTTATACCTGGTTTTCGTACCTGGTATTTTTACATACTCGTACTTGGAAGCCCTGGTATTGAATTTTGCAAGTATGTCTCATCCCTACGATAAAGTAGCCGGGGAAGGTAGGCCTATTAGGTGCTAAAAAAAAAAAAAAAAAAAAAAAACCTCGTCGAAGACGTAATATACAAGCATAGACTTCTTATGTTGTGTTTGCCATTTAACGTCATCGCGTGTTACTTAACACCTAGCGCCATCTAGTATACTTGATAAAAACTAAACCTACATGTACTGCCGGTCCGCTCTCTCTTTCCTATGAAAAAAAAAAATTAATAAATATAATCATTATTTTTTAATATTACCTAATATTGATTTAAATATTCAATTTAAATTACTTCATTATAATAATTTAAATGAAGTAATTTTATTTATATTGATTACATTTTGTAGAAAGGCTCAGATCTGTCCTAAAGGCTGCAACCAGGTGGCGCCTTTCTTCCGCCCACGCCGGACAAGCCGCTAATGTGTGTGCGGCATCTTCCTCCACTCTCAACCTAACCTCCTAAAAAAACCCCTGGACATCTTGTTTCCCCCTAAATTTTGGGGGAAAACTCCCAAGTTGGCATCTCTGCCTGCATTTTCTTGGCTAAATTAAATGGGGCTAGTATTATAAAACAAGTATTTTAATTGAATTATGATATGAGAGTTTAACTTACCATTTATTTCTCTGTGTTATCAGATTTAGTCTAAGAGATTACTGATTAGTGCAATTTATTTTTTAATTGCATCCAGCTTACTGATTTGAAACACTTAGGAGCAAAGAAAACTGATAATCAGAGAGTTAAATTATTGTTACTTAATAGCTTACATTTTGTTGCATATTATAGGGAGAACCCAAAGGCAACGAATACCTACAGACGCAGGATGTCTGAATTCGTTGGCAAAGAAGAGAGGTGTAATAATTATGTAATAGGTACAGAATACCTACTAAGGAAATCTTCAATAAACAAACAAAACTTTTTAGTATTTTCTAAAGTCTCGTCGAGATGCCAGCCCAAATACAAAAACTCATTTCTGCCCACATCAAAATATAGTGACAAGCCACGATAGCTAAGACACGCAATTTAGGAGCGGGTGATTGGAAACGTTCGCTCAATGAATCAGAATACTATCGGCGATCGGATGCAGGCACGCCCAAGGCACGAGCTTCGCGATTTTCTTACCAACTGATTGTGATTATGTTTTTCCATTCTACAATAGACTTTATTAGTAGACCACGGCTGTACACCAATGGATTTTTTTTTATTTGTGCAATTAAATACGTGCTCGTACGGTAAAGGAAAACAACATATCTGTCTGTATCTAATATTATAAAGTCATAAAGAATTATAAATTCAAACCTTCCCTATGAATCTAATATAGTCTATATTTTTGTGCAAACAGTATCAAAATCTATTTGGTAGTTTTTGAGAAAATACCGTTTATATGCAACCTCTTTAACGGCTTATATTTCTGTCGTCGTAATATACGTAGAATCATAAAGAATTCAAACCTTCCCTGAGAATCAGACTATCTTTTGGTGCAAACAGTATTAAAATCTAAATGCCGTTTATTGCTATGCTAATGCTATATTTTAAAGATTTTTGTGTCCTCTTCAAAGGCCTATATTTCTGTCAATTTACGTCGAACCATAAATAATTATATATTGAAACGTTCCTTATAAATCACACTTAGTAGAGTGCCCGGAGCATTTAAAACCGTAAAACCTCGGATTAGAGTTACAGTGAATGAATTAATATGATCGATGTGGGATATTGTTTTTATTTAAACTATAAATTGCAATGTTTACCCAAATTTTTTTTGTGCAAATTAAAAAAAAATTATTATGAAAAATTAATGTTTGACCATATATTTTCACTTTAAACAGTATTTTACTTTATTTATATATTAAATCTTACCTGAGTAGACATATAGGAACATTTTTCAAAGATACCTGTGTATAAAAATATCAGTAGGGATATCGAACAGCAGGAGAGCGGAGCGACAGCTGCTATGTACAATGGAATTTCTCAGCCAGTTTAGTTGCAAGTATCACGTGTTATGTGAATATTGTGCTTCTATAACAGTGAAAATTTGTTTTTTTTTGTGAAAAATTCTTGAATATTTTGTACTGGAAGGTGTATTGATGACGACGTTTTTGTATTGAACGTTTTATCTCACACACTGTTTTATTGTGTTTTTTTTTATATTATTAGTATTTTTGGCTGTTGCTTTTATGAAAGAATTGAACCTCAATGTATTTATATTATCTTGAGTTTTAGACGGAGCTCCATATAAACTCAAAATACATGCTACACCTGCTTGCAAACTACTATACTAAAAAAAATAGTATACATGTTCCTCACATATTTACAAATATCGAAACCGTATAATATTATACATTAAAGAGTATTAAAAATAATATAAAAAAATACAATAAAACAGTGTGTGAGATAAAACGTTCAATATAAAAACGTGGTCATCAATACGCCTTCAAGTACAAAAATATATAAGAATTTTTCACAAAAAAAACAAATTTTCACTGTTATAGAAGCACAATATTCACATAACACGTGTTACTTGCAACTAAACTGGCTGAGAAATTCCATTGTACATAGCAGCCGACGCTCCGCTCTCCTGCTGTTCGATATCCCTACTGCTATTTTTATACACAGGTATCTTTGAAAAATGTTCCTATATGTCTACTCAGGTAAGATTTAACATATAAATAAAGTAAAATACTGTTTAAAGTGAAAATATATGGTCAAACATTAATTTTTCATAATAATTTTTTTTTTAATTTGCACAAAAAAATTTTGGGTAAACATTGCAATTTATAGTTTAAAAAACAATATCCCACATCGATCATATTAATTCATTCACTGTAACTCTAATCCGAGGTGAAAACCCCCAGGCTCTATACTAACTATCTTTTGGTGAAGACGCATCCTAGATCACCTATACGTGTTATCATTTTAATAAAATATACTCTGTTTAAGTATAACTTGGCATGCGCATGACAGTGACAACGACTATAGTAGACAATTTTCTTCTACTATAGATTACAAGTCTCATTTTAGATTCCATAATCTGTGCGAAAAATGTCAATACTTGGAAAGAATAAATCGTTATTATAATAATAAATATTAAATATTTTAGTTTTAACTTCTATGTTTTAAAATTATATTTTTTTTGAGAATCATTGATAAGTCATCATTAACGTAGATGTAGTCTGCTGATTTTAATTTTATTGAGATAAATTTACACTACACTGGCTCACTTTTTTAAACATAATAACAATATGAATCTTTGGACTTCCTTCAAACAGAAATTAATACAATTTAAAGCGTCCTCATATATCTTAAACTAGGCAAATGATAATGTATCAGCGAAGATTTTATGTTGTGCTTCTGTTATGCATCTTACTGTTTTGGTGCTTTCCTTTAATATGGAATTTAACATACTTCATTTTATTTAGTACCACTCTTATCGTGACTATTTTTACGTTTACTTTTTTTGGACATATCTCACTGTCGTCACCGCACCAAACGTCGCTATTTTTATTTAATAGTTTAGAAAAAAAATCTCGCGTGTTAGAAAGTGCAATAAATGTATGTATAAGGGTTCTGAATTTACTTTTATGATTAAGAATCTTTAATTATTGAACTAAAAATGTGTTTTAGGATGAAAAAAATGCTTGGAGTGATACCAATAAAAAGCCACATTTACCAATTATATTTGGACGAACAGTGGATAGTCAGCTGCAACAGTTACTTGACTATTTTTTAAGAGATTTTGTTACTCAATGGATAAAGGAGCTGACACATAAGCCAGAACCAATTATTGAAAAATTTAAGGAGCATGTTTGGGGTGCTATTCAAAATATATATGAAAGATTGTTAAGAATAGATGCAGAGAAATTGTTAGCCAATGACATGGTCACAAAAGTAACACAACACTTTGAGAGAATAAGGATTTCTACAAGTTGTGCGTAAGTAAACTTGGTCACCTATAAATTCTCATTGGTTGCAAAAAATTTGGTAGATCTATACCTACACCCTAGTAAAATACAATTTAAAGCTGTAAAACAAATATAAAACTCAATATAGTCATAAAATTCAGTCATCACCATTGATATCCAACTTCTTTCAACATAAATAATTTCAGAATGGAACTTAATCAACCTCCAGTGTTCGCTTTAATGCCACATTTGATGTCTTTGGATACAGAATTACACTATCTACGACAAATAAGTGAAATGATGATTATGTATTTGATGCCACGCTGTTACTCTTTAACACCAGGTTCACATCTACTCCGAGAAGTATTGGCTTGTAAAAGTTAGTAGAAAATAATTTCTTTTAAAATCTCATCTCAGTCATTATTGGTATTTGTACTAACCATCTAACATAGTAGTAAACAGTTGTAATTTTTATAATTATTTCATCTTATATTGGATATCAAAGCTCTGTGTTAATTGATGTTGATTTGCTTAGGAGCAGCATTGTATTTTATTAAACTAAAATTATAGAGTATTTAGAAATACAATAATAATAAATTGTTTTAGTTCTACAACCGGCTATCAACATCGTCACGGACCCAGATTATATAAACCAAAAGATAATACAATATCTGGAGGCTCAAAAGGAAGTGGATGCAATGCACGTGAGGACCCACGAATATGCTAAGACATTTGAGGATTATATTCGCCTAATAAATAGCTGTAATAATGTGGACACACTCAAGCGCTTACGGTATTTATTTCATAACTTATGTTTATTAGACTGTAAAATCTGGTATATACGGCTTCATAATAAGTGTCTATTTTACAAAAGACTTAATTTGATTCATATTAAATGAGAATCCACTGATTTTGATTGAATAATCTTTATACCTTAATAGGTATTTTATTTTGAATAATGCATCATTTGTGAAGGTTTTTTTTGCTGACATCATTTGACTACAATGATAAAATATAAATATCAAGCTCAATAGATTTACACAGGGAATTAGTTAATTGTGACATCAACTATAATGACTCGGTAGATGAGTGTTAATATTTTTGAGTTTGAATAAATTGTTATTGGTAAAGTTAAATTAATTGTAATCATTTTAGATATGACATAGTGACTCAAATAATGCAAGCGACCACTTTGCAAAACATCAAAAGGGCAAAAGGCGTAGACATCGAAGTGATCGAGAAGAGTGGCAACCTGAACAATGTCAGTCGACAGCAAGTGGCAGATGCGAAGAAACTAAAGAGATATATAGATCAGTTATCTATCGCAAAAGCCGACTGCGAAGCCGCTCTGAGAAGGTACGGCTGGGATGGAGCCTTTCCTGTTCTCGAGTCTGACGTCAACGTGAGCTCTTTGACTATTTTTATGTATTTGAAGGGAAAACTTGAATTTTTGTATTTATAGATTCTTTCAATCAAAAACTACTAGTAAAGAACCCAGCGTTAGTATTTCGTTACGCTATAAAGTAATGCTTGTCATCATTAAAATCTCGAGTCTAATTGCCCTTTTTAAATAAAGTACTCATGTGTCTCTTTTCATTGGGATGACAACAATGAGTGAGTGGGAGAAGGGTTCCACAGAAGAATATATATTTTCAGACAATGCCCTTGCATAACATCATGGAGAGCGTCGCCGGCAGAAGGTATCTGTCGATGTTCTTAGAGACTCTATGTTCCCAAGGTCTGGTGGGCTTTTGGTCTGCCGTCGAAGAGCTGCGCCACAGCCACAGGCACAACTGGCACCAGCTGGGCGCCGAGATCTTCTACACCTACATCAGGTCACCCACGGCCGAGATTAAAGTCGATAAGGTGAAGTCTGGGATTCCGCCTCGAATTAGATTGTGCGCGTTCGGATGCATACATCGTTCACATGTTCATATGCAGGAGACCAGAAAGAGGATGGAATCCTTCCTGCTCGGGGACACGGGACCGGAAGTGTTCTACGAAGTGCAGGACTCGGTGGTGGACACGATCCAGGACAAGTACTACCACTCGTTCCTGCTCAGCGACCACTACAGCGCTCTCCTCGCGGAGCTGGCCACGGAGGAGGACAAGGGTGAGTGTTCATCGCGTCGTTTAATGGTCTAGTTGACTCCATGGATGTAACAAAAGCGCCGTTGACGATCAGACACGGGCGCGGTGGCCTCCGGGGTCGAAGAGCGTGAGGGAGGCGAAGGGCTCTCGCCGGGGGCCGCGGGGACCGAGGGAGGCGCAGGGGCCCATCTCGCGGAGCACTCCACCTACGCCAGGAGGAAGCTGGACCGGCTGCACGAGAGGCACAGCAACAAGACGCAGGCCTTGGCCGCGTTGCGAGCCTCGCTGAAGCCCGAGTCTCCCGCCCTGACGATGCTGGCCAACGAAGTGGAGAAGCTGGCCGGAGAGCAGATGCGACTCGAGGCCCACTTGGCCCGGACCGACACATGGGCGGAGCACCTGGGCAGCTGGCGGGCCACGGTGCACAGCGCTGAGGTGTCGTATGCTCCATCTACTCGTGCGATGCCTCCTCTCGAGCGATAGATAAAGTTCGTTTGACGTCGCAGCTGCTGGACGAGTCCAAGCCCCCGCAGTTCGTGGTGGTGGTGCACATGGCGCAGAGCGAGGCCGAGGAGGAGAAGCCGCAGCACATCTGCTCGGGGTGGGTGCTGCTGAAGACGCTCGCCGAGTTCCAGGTTCACCAGCGCTCTGAGTAACGAAACGCTCGCGAAGGCCGTTCCCTTCATTCCGCGCCCTCTTTTCCAGGAACTGCATCGCAAGCTGAGGCCCATGTGTTCGGAATTGAAGAACCTCGAGTTGCCTTCCAATTCCTTTAAATTTATTTTTGGGAAAAACGACAAAAACTCGCTGGAGAAAGCCAAACTTTTGATACAAAAATATTTAGAGGTACGTCGTTGAATATTTTCCTACGAAATAAAAACTCGTTCGAAAACTCTTTCGTAATCGTTTGTCTGTTTTTAGTTCATCCTAGAAGACGATAGATTGAATCAGTCCGAAGCCGTGTACACCTTCCTCAACCCGAGCTCCGAGCACCTGAAGCGGGTCGACCTTCCCAAGAAAAACAAGTTCTCCTTCTCCACATTATTCAAAAGGTAAAGTTCGCCTTCGACGCGCTTCACGATCGCGTGAGCGGAGTCGGGCCTCACGAGAACGTCTGTGCAGCAGCAGCGCCGAGGCGCCGAGTCGCCCCTCCTGCGAGAGGGAACCGTTCCCGGCGTCCGACGAGGACGACATCTCCTCGTACCTGGACGGGAACGGGGAGCTCGCGCGGCACCAGGCGAACGGATCCGCGAGAGGTGAGCGGGGTCTCGATAGACGCTCTCGGCGTTTGACGATCCGCGTTTGACCGACTCTCGTCCGGACAGCGGGGCCGGGGGGCGAGGAGCGGGACGGCGTGGCCGAGCCCCTGTACGCCCTGCTGAGCGAAGTGTTCGACGCGAGAGGAGTCTTCAAGTGGCTCCGGAAGACCCTCGTCTCCTTCGTGCAGATCACCTACGGACGAACCATCAACAGGTGAGCCGAGGTTCCTAACGACGTTTACGAGAAGAATAAAAATAATACTGAGAAAGTATTGCTCATGAGTCATGACATTCGACTCGACCTACGTCTGAGCAGATTTCGATGAGAATTAACAGTTGTGGGCGATTTAACCCGTCTCGGTCGTTTCTTATACGTTTACTAGTTGCCCTCGCAAACTTCGTTTCTCCTTAATGTGATTATACTTAGCCTACCTTTTTAGGACATACCGAAATGGAACATTTTGCTATGCCACCCCAGGGACTGTGACTTTTCTCTATATATAAACCTCAGATTTCAAGTTATAAATTCTTAACTAACAAATAAAAAATAGTGGTTGATCGTAGAGGGTAGATGAAAATTAAGGGTTGTATGTATTTTCGTATGCTATATCATAAAAAGATAAAAACAAAAAAAAATATGGGGTGGACACCCCTTATCACTTAAGGGTTTGAAAGATATATACTCGTATATGCATAAAAATTTCATAAGAATCGGTCGAGCCGTTTCGGAGGAGTAGGGAACGAACATTATGACTCGAGAATTTTATGTATTAGATCTGGTTAAGTAATATATCCTTTGTCGGTGTTTTTTTTGTGTACGTTCAAGCGAAGCTCTGCCGTGGACCGATCTGGAGGATCGAGGTGTCGTGGACTGGATGTGTATTTTCAAGATATTAACTGATATTTCTCATTAAAAATTAAAAACTAGTCTTTTAACCTAAACCGATAAATAAAATGTTTTAAGAGTTATATTAATATAATAATCATTATGATAATATACAAGATTATCTCACAAAAATGTTTCAATCCAATCTTTATGCCCAAACGGTCTATTAAACTTTTACACACCTTTAATGTGTGTGAATACTCTCGAGAACGGAGGACGGCGCAGAGCCGGCTCGTAGTAGTTCCCTTATTGGGCGTGATTTATAAACTTATTTACGTTTTTCAATTTATATACAGCAATATACATTAAGTTGCGGTGTTGACGTTTCTCTCGGAATAAAAGTCTTTTGTCGGCTCAAACGGCCAATCGAATAATAACTTATATTCGTTGTTTCAATATTAATTGAACCACTTAATATTTTTAAAACGGCAGAGCTCCTTGCGTGTTGGTACCGTAATTTCGAAAAATTTAGAAATGAAAAATATTGTTCTTTAATACTTTTTATTGCTTTTATGTTTCCCATTTTTTTTAATTACCTATATACGTGACCGTCAATGTCTCGAAAAAAACTCTTAGAGATTAGGAAGTTGTGCGTGAACGTTTAGTATTCGCGAGAACCGAAGACATAGAGCGTCAACGTGAACGAGCGAACTGTCTCAGGCAAATTAAGGAGACGATCTCGTGGTTGTTCTCGGAGCAAATGCTGCACTACTACATCAGCGCGGCGCTTAAGTCCTGGTGGCCGGGAGGTGAGCTGTCGGAGACCACCACCAACAGGAACGTCATGGACAAAGGTAAACTTTAAATACTATTTAATTCTTACATTTATCGCTGTAACAGTTTTGTGAATGGCGGTTTGTGACCCCGCACAGAGCACAGCCGCACCGTGGCCCTCCAGCTGCTGAGCGAGAGCGTCGTGAGCGGGCTGTCCTCTCTGGTGGGCGCCCACGCGGCGGCTAGGGGCGCCCATCGCCTCTTCCTGGTGCTGCAGGAAGCCACGCACAACCGGCAGCTCTTCTACGTGAGTGTCGCTTCTCCTTAGTAAGAGACGACGTAGGGGGCGTGCATTATCATTATGATTAACAATAGAACAAGTGTCATCGAATAACACAATTGCGAAGGAAAGTAAGCGAGTGACGAAAGCCCGACGAACACCACCGCCAATATGCTGTATTTCAAGTTCCTTGCCGAAAAGACGGACACGTTGCGCGGCGAAGTTTCGGAGTACGAAATTGTCTGAAACAAATGTTATCTTACATTCTTAAAAAGTTTTGTTAGTTTACAGTTGGATGTTAAGTATACGAAATGTCATACTAACCGTATATCGTAAGTTTTGATCATTTTCAACTAGGATCAATGTTTCGCCGAGAAGACTCTCTGCAACCACAAAATAACATTAATGTCACGTGCTACACGTGTATGGCGACGAGCAGACCGCGTTGGCGAACTTTACCACTGCTTTCGACTCCAATAGAATTTATTTCTTCCAACTCCCCGCTTCTTATGACCACGCTCCCGTAATCCTCGTTATATCTGTACATTTGTTTTGCCAAGATATTTCTCTCGTTTTGTCTTTTGACCTCGTTTAGGAAAAGAAATGCTCGTGAGCGCTGACAAGACTGCAACATTCAATTGACTCGACTAGATTTGCGATTCGTAAATATTTCGTCAATTGTGTAAACGTGTTTATTAGTTATCGATCTAAGATAGGTAACAATTTAAAAGATAGATCTATATTAAAACTTCGGTGTGCGACTCCCATCGATGAACTTTCTGTCCTCTTAACACTAGATAGTGAAGAAACCGCACACACAACACAACTAAAAACGGTTAATCATCTACTTGCCTATTCAAAAATGGTCACGAAACAGATTCAGAAATCTGAGGCCCAGCCCTGAAAGGGTTTACTGCTTTTTTTATCAATTTAAAATAAAATAAATGTATTTTTAGATTAGAAGTTAATTTTGTTATAATGGCGCTACGATCTAAATTAATACATTTTGTATTAATTTAGATCCAATTTGCTGTCAAATTATTAATTAAATAGACTTAAAAATAGTAGTCCACGTATTAAAATAACACGGAAAAATACTGTTCTGATTTGTATAAAATGAATTTATTTATAATAAGTGGATTAAATCGGGATGGAGATAAGCCAAACGTACGATTATTCTGGACAAACCCCACGCAATTTTGTTTTGTTCTTTCCCTAATGCCTACAGAAATAGTTTAATTAAGAAAAGGGAAATTAATACGAACCCTGTCAGTGATGCAGAAGTAAAAGCTCCCATCTTCGTTGATATAGTGCAGTAAAAATCTACCAAAGGAATACGTCATCTTATCATTTCGTTCGGGAATCTTCCTCATCACCAGCTCCACAATCTCGCCGAAGTTTCCATCGCACGTTGCAAATTGTTCTACAACAACTTTATGACAGACGACGGCACTGAACAGAATCGGCATTATCATAACATATAATATATTGTTGTAATATCTCGCGAACTAAAAGACACGTGTGTTCCCACTTCGAGATTCGTCCGTGAAAGCATTCCTCCGCAAACTTTGATAGTCTTAAATTAGCCGCCGAGACGATTCGCTTCATCGAGATCGTCACGTCAATACCTGATCTCGAGTCGAGTACAATATTTACTAATTAACTGTTAGAAGTAAGATATAAATTAATATATACTTCCAGGAGCTCTTCGAGCTGGTTCTACTGGAGGTGTTCCCCGAGCTGAAGCGTTACCACACTACCTCCTCCATCGAAGCCAAAGCCTTCCGACAATAGTTAAGGCGACCGAAATCATTTGCGTCAATAAACGCTCGATCTCATCTCGTCACTTCGAACCTTTCATATTATTTTTATATTTTTTATTTGACCTCAGATTTCTTTTAGGAACATTCCATAGATGTAGCGGGAGATAGAGGCTGTAGTCTGTATATTTCTTGATGTAGCCGTTATAACTCGTATCGTTATATATTTGTGAATTGCCAGTTGTCAGACACTACGAGTATCACATAGTTGTTTCTCATTGATTTGTAATTCAGCCCTCGACGTGTACCTGACTGTTATTTTATATTTATTGTAAGCATTAAAACGATGCGAAATTCGGGATCAAGTTTGTTTTCTTTGTCGTGCAAACTTTCGTGGATTTTCTTTCACTGTGACTTTCGAAAGAGCGCCGAACAAATGTTAGGAACGCACTAGACTTACTATATTTATTTTTGTATGACGACTGTTATTTTATTATTTGTACTCTTGTATACTATTGTAAATAATCGTATTATGTATACCTCATTAATTTAAGGTGGTAAATGGCCTAGTTGACAATATTTTCCACTATTTATTTTCAAAACTAAATCACACATTTTGTCTCGTGTGAAGATTCGTGGCCGCCGAAACGTGTAACTGCAATAGTGGGACGTATAAAACTAATTTATTTTTTATGAATAAGACAAAAGATCTGTTTTAAACGTGATTAATATTTTTTTAAATATCGACATAGACAGTCTTTACTAATATTTAAAAGCAGTCCTTGTACGGAACGGCAAGATATGTTTTATGAAAATAATATGATAATGTCGATTATATTATTAATTTGGACAAATAGAGTGAGGACGCAGTGTTCACTTGAAGACCTCGCTATGAATATTGAAGCACAATGCTATTAGTAATGTATGTTTTGTAAGTGTTGATACAGGGAATGGGACGAGAGTCTTCGAGTCGAAAGCTCTTTCGTTTAGAGTAGAACTAAAAAATAATATATTGATAACATTCGCGATAGCTTTCGGTATCTCGAACACTCTTGTGCTCACCCTAATGCTTTAAATATGTATTTACTAAATTTTGACGACCTGGGGCTATATTAACTGTTGAAGTTGTTTAGGTGTATGAGACATGTTCGTTGTTCATGTCTGTCTGTAACATAGAACGTTCAATAAAAATGTCTTGAAAATTCGTTTGATTCCTCTCCCCCGCAAGAGTCCCAAATTAAACACGAGTACATCTGAATAATTTCTATTTATTACTTTCAGTACAATAATAAATTGGATAACAGTTTTGACACCTCTTCGTAGGAGGCTCTAGGTAAAGGTGTAAAAGCTGTTTATTTACTTAAGATAGAATTCATACCAACGCTAAAAACGAAGATTTTTTTGGCACGGAACGCACTTGCTATGCGCTGAAATAAAATTGGGAACTTATTGTGTGCGCGTTTAGCACCTCGTCCGAAACCGATAAAAACGTAAATTTCGTCATCTCTTTCCTGGCATCTGGTATCACAGCACTCGACGTTTTCCCTCTTACACTATGATAACAAAACGATTAAAATCTCCACTTAAAACTAATAGAAACATGATAATATAAAACTCTAGGTAAGTAAACGACCGTTTCTCACTTCGACAGTGAGATTGGAAATTCTAAATAATTGATTTCTCGTCACAAACAAGAGGGGCGGATCGATTCGAAGTTATTCGTATTTATATAGCAAAGTTATCATAGTTTACCGTCCGAAACAATCGATTGCTCGTCGAGCGTCAAACGATGGTAGTTTTATAAATTATCTAATAATAAATATCTCATACCATGAAAATATATTACTTTCTATGTACAACGTTTAGGAAATCATATAAGCGTGAGTCACAGATTGAGCTAAACCTATAGAAGCCTTTGAAGCAACGAGGTAGCCAAGTAATTAATGAAATAGTGAATCCGTTTTATCGACATCCGTCCTATAATCTATCTATCTTATTATAATCACCCTGTGGAATGTCGCACCTTCGCATCAGAAATCAATCCTCATTTGAACTTGCACTTAAATCTTATCTACTAAACAAATAATTGTGATATGAAAGTTAACGTTCGCAAGATGCTTGCAAATCTTACACAGGATCATTATTTAAAAAAAATCAAGCAAAATCAGATACAAATAAAATATTTACATGAATTTTACACAGGTTGACAAAAATGTCTCAATTAAAACTAATTATTTACAATTGATATTTTATTGTCACCATATTATCGTGGTGAATTATTACTAAGACTTCTTCCACGCGACGCCACTTTAGTCGTATTTGAACTAAAGATGCCGATTATTTCACTAAATACGTAATTAATATAAAATAATTATATTTAAAGCGTTTAGGATTCAGTTGGGGATGAGTTTTTAACAGTTTTATTTCTGAATATGTAGAACCTGTAATAAATTTTGTCATAGCTGAAGTATTATTACGAGTATATTGACTTGGAGAAATTTGAGTAGCGCCGAGTGAAAAAGCATCAACAATGTAAAAACAATCACCGATGTGTCGCACATTGTAAGACCGGGATGTACAAGAAAGAAGAAATAATCTCAGATCCCCATCAACTTCTGTTCACCAGATTAAAAAAGGTAAAAATCTAACAATACGGCTCGTCGCTCGCTCCCCAAGAGCCTAGGAGAGTCGAATGAGAAGCGCCTTGTACAAAAATAACACCAATTATTTCACCATACCTTACAACAGAGATACTCTAATACATTTAGGGACTTGCGATATCGCACTTACAAAACTCACCCTCGACAAGGTCCGGCTTGTGCGTTAATTCTTAAGCTTCGCTAGCGGATATCGCAGTCTGAAGTAGGCTTAACGACACATATTATGTCTAAACACGTCTTCTACGAAACGGACTACAACGTGAGATCATCGTTTCAGTTAGATAATTCTAAGTAGGTACATAAAATACTCCATTTTCATAGGCTAAACTGTAGTTTTTAGGATAAAAAACTGGTGTCCTGCAAACGGGAGGTCGGACTTGGTTAATTGATACGAACTTTTGACACAGATATTTAACGATATACCTAGGTATTTAGTAACAAGGAATACAAATATCCGTAGATTTATTTTCCAGTCAATCTTTGACGTATTTCACAGCAATACTGCCTAGTTCTACACGTACTACGATGTATCGAGTCAGGAAGTTACTGCTTTGTAATTCTAAAGGTGTTCAGCGCTAGTTTTGTAGGAGATGACTTCGAGACAGCAACACCTTTAACCTAATAAAATGACTAATAGTTGCTCTGTAGACAATTATTTTCGACAATCTCCCGCAAAACACTAAGACTCGTTAACACCTCTTTAACTACAGTATCAAGCGATTCAAGTCCTAATGATGCCGAGCCGTTTACGCAAACGTGTGTAAGGTGACGGGTTCAAAGTCGTTGTGTGTGGGCGGCCTGACTGGCAAGTCTTCCTGGGAAGAAGGCGCCGCCAAGAGGCTAGTCCCTTCCTGGATGTACACGTTTGTTACGCGATTCTACAACAAAATTTAATTAAGTTTATTTTGAAGATTAATTCCCATCCGTGCCTATAAGAGACAAGGATAATTAGAAGTCAAAGCTTTACCTCCTGTTTATCGTATTTGTAGATTTCCTGGAGGCGGTAACTCTTTTTTCCTTCTGAATTCGTTTGTTCATAATTCGGATTGTGAAAAGTGATAGGGCAGCTCGGGTCTCGGTGGGTTTCTTTCAATTCGCCGTCACGGTCCTTGAGCACTCGGACTGTAATGCAAAACACAAAATAAAACACCTAATAGTATGTATTGCTTCCTTTCAGAAATTTTTTAACATACTTTAAGGACTTACTAGAATATTAGACTGTAAATATCAACTTGGTGAGAGAGAATACTCACGACAAACAAAGCCAATAGCCATAGCTCCGATGATGATGATGACCACAACAGAGGCCCCGATGAAGATGGCTCCGGTGTGAGATTGTGATTCTGGAGCGGGAGTAGCCAACTCGATATGTTCGTAGTCCATGTAATCGTAGTTAGGTGGGTAGTGGGAGGGCATACGGAGTTCCACCTTCTGTTTCGGTGCTGTAAATGGATCCTCATCAGTAACATTTATAGAAACTCTCGTCTATGCTTCGCTAACATGGCTCGTAACAGATGCTTATGTTTATTTCCTATAACGGTTTTACGTTCAATTTGATAAACAATAAGTCACAAGTAGTTTTAGAATGTCTTTTCCCATTGATTTGAGACACAACGGACGTTTGATTTTAAGAAGTGAATGGTTACTTTAATATTTTAGCTTCTCTTAATAATATTGATTAGTCTCAATTGAAAGTTATTAATTCAGTGGTTTATTAACATTTTGAACGTACTTGTAGAACAAACGACGTCGGAGTGGTCGGGACAAGCACACACGTAGTCGTGCCCTTTGAAGAAGCAGAAGTGTGTGCACCCGCCATTGTCCTCCATGCACGGGTTCCAGCCGTGCTGTCGCTGGTGTGACACTGCCTTTATCTCCATGGCCATTTCAAAATTTGAGCTAACTGCTGTCACGTTCTTTCCTGTGTTCTTTTCTGCGCGCATCACGGCCTTTTTGTTCCAATCCGTCCAATAGATGAATTCGCCAAACTGTAAACGATTTTTTGAAGTTATACTTCTTTAGGCGCGTTATGAAAAATTTATGAGAGTGAAATTTTACGATGCGCCTTACCTGTGACACAAAATTGGGAGTGTGAATATAGTGTGCGCGAGCGAGATAGGAATAAGACAATCTACAAGTAAAAAGAAATAGAATATGCGTGAAGTTCGTATGCCAAGAATTTTGAATGACCATACTGACATTTGTCATTTACCTTTTAAACAAATAAAGGAGTTTTGATTATTTTTTCAAAGAAATTTATTAATTTTATATTGTGCAATACTGCCAAAGCTACAACATACTTCTTAGTGTTTGGTAGAGATGTTCTAAATATATAATAATATATACTTTTAACTAAATAGAATTTATGTTACACTTAATGTAAGAGAATAATAATAAATAATTATTTATTTAATTTTTCAAATGTAAACTGAACTTAATTGACTATAATGACTCCTTTTCCAGTCTTTGATTATTTAATTGTAATTAATTGTTTGCATGCAATCAAAAACTATTTTTAATAATGCCAAAGAAGTATAACTTCTTACGCGCGTACATAAGTACACGCACCCTTTTTTTTTTTTAAGATTTCTGTCTTGTGTTTCTTCTTCGTAAACATAATTTATCAGAAATGAATGAGTAAATTTTATGAATGTTTTTTTTTCTTGTTAGATAAATAATAGACATAAAGTTTATCACTAACAAACACACAAAATAACAATAAGCGTACGATGTCGATCTGAACCACCGCCGCTATTCTCGAAATGAAACTCAGAGTGGAGTTATAATTGTTACCGTTTATTGGTCGAACGTTAGTGATGGTGACACATAATAATATAGCGAAACGAGCTTATAACTAAAGTCCGTCCGGCACGGCTGCGTAAATCTATCTGGTCGTTATACAAATAATAGCTTAAAACTAAACCTAAAACTACCACGCTGGTCAAAGGGACCGACCGACCCTTCCGCTACCTGCGCACCCGCCGACCGTTTCCAAGAATAACATCTGGCTTGCAGCTTCGTTCGTCGGCTTTCTTAACTGTATTGTTCGTTGTCCGTAACAGTCTCCCCTCAGCGAAACCTTCCTATGACGTGAAGCTTTCCGTAGGTAGGACAACGATGCGCGTCACAGGTCGTCTCAGCTTATGAAGTTTCGTTTCCACTTCTACTGATCGGGTTTCTCCATCAGGCCCTCTATGCGTTTTCGTAACAATTCCCCGCGGCCAAACATTGCGCGGCAGCAAGGGATCCATAATGATGACCACATCGCCGATTTTTACAGGGCTTTTCATTCTTGGCGTGTGTCCCCTGGCGTTTAAAGTAGGAAGATATTCCTTAACCCATCTTCGCCAAAATTCATCGGCTAATGCTTGCGCCGTCTTCCACGTTCTTTTAGTAACGTGCGGTGAGGTGCCTAATATAGGCATTGCGTCTGGAGCTCCAAGCAGAAAATGATTTGGAGTTAAAGCCTCTAGGTCGTCCGGATTTACTGGAACGTGCGTTAGTGGCCTTGCGTTCACACTGTACTCTATTTCAGTCATAAACGTGCTGAAAGTTTCCTCCTTAGGGTACTTCTCTGTCAAGACGATTCTAACGGCGTCTTTTGTTGTTCTTATTAAGCGTTCCCATGCACCGCCTTGATGCGGGGCTCCTGGAGCAATGTATCGCCATTCTGTCCGTTGAACTAGACATAAATTCTCGATCTCTGGAGTCCATTTTTCCATCGCTTTCCTCAGTTCTAAGTCTGCGCCTTTGAAGTTGGTCGCATTATCAGAATATATAATTTGCGGCCAACCTCGTCGCGCCGCCATTCTTCTTAGTGCCAACAGAGCCGAGTCCGTAGAAAGCGATGCAACTATCTCAATATGTACAGCTCTTGTACTTAGACACGTAAATATTGCTCCCCATCGCTTTTCATGACGGCGTCCTATCGTTACACAAATTGGGCCGAAATAGTCCATTCCACAATTTGTAAATGGTCGAATATGAGCTTCGGTTCGAACTCTAGGTAGTAAGCCAAAGTTAGGTTTTGTTGGCGCCTTTTTTCGAAGCACACACACGTGGTCGTATTTAGCCAAACGACTTGTTTTCTTAATTGGCTTCCCCTTCTTCAAGGTGTCGATTACGTCTTGGAAGCTTTGATTCTGCGCCTCGCGTACCCATGCCAGTTCCGCATCTTTTAAGTCGCTTACGCTTAATCGGGTACTGCGATCCTTAAGCTTGCGTATAAATAGTTGGACGTAAGCTGTGGCTCTAATCAGTCGTTCATACTGCGAGAATCTCTCTATATCTGGTAGATCGTTTCTGTTGGCTCTCCTTTCGATTACGGTCATAATTAGCACTTGTGGCTCGCAGCTTTGTTTTGGCCATGTTTCTTCAGGCCCGTAAAGGAACGCTGGGCCCACAAACCACCGGTCATTGTCGGTTTTATGGTCCAACGTTATTCTTGTAGCATCATCCGCTACATTTTCCCTGGTTGGAACCCAACGCCATTGACTAGCATCCGTCGTTTCGGTGATTTCAGTCAATCTATGTGCTACAAAAGGTGGGTGCCTTGCTTTATCATTTCTGATCCACTGTAATACCGTCGTTGAATCCGTCCATAGCACGATCTTGTTTGGTTCAATTCTGTGACCTTCTCTAATGGCCACAGCTAATCTCGCTCCGATAAGGGCTGCCTGTAGTTCTAGCCGCGGTATACTCTGTGACTTAATAGGGGCCATCCGTGCTTTTGCTGTGATGAGTCTGACGTCAATTACATCGGTTCCAATTCGCCAATATGCCACGCTCGCATGTGCTTGTTCAGATGCGTCACAGAATACATGCAATTGTAGCTCAGCTCCCCTCGTGTAATTATACCATCTAGGTATCTTCAGTGTTTTTACATTTTCTAACTGACACAACCACTGTTTAAACTCCGAAGCTTGGTCAGTAGGAATTTCTTCATCCCATCCTGTCTTCAATCTCCATAACTGTTGTAGAATTATTTTCGCCGTTACGGTATAATAACTTATTAACCCTAACGGATCAAAAACTGACATAACGGCTCCTAAAGCTTCTCTTTTAGTCGGCTGCCTAATTCCTTGCTTCACATCTTGAGGAACTCTATGAAGGCTTGTGTTAAAGGAAAGTACGTCTTCTGCGGCCTCCCAAATTATTCCTAATGTCTTCTCATAATACAAGGGTGTGGTTCCCAACTCTTTGGGGCTTGTAGAGCGAAGCTCAGGAGGCGTAGCTTCCACTATCCTGTGTGAGTTTGAATTCCATCCAGCCAATGTAAACCCAGCATAGATATGAACTTCAATCACTTCTTGCATTGTTTTTATGGCTTCGTCTTCGGTATCAAAGCTATCTACGTAGTCATCCATATAATGATTTTTTGTTATAGCATTATAAGCGTTCGGATGTGTAGTACGGTAGCACGAAGCGTTGTAATCCCTTACGCTGTGTGCTAGAAATGGCGAGCTCTTAGCGCCAAATATCAATGAAGTCATAACGTATTCTTTAGGGGGCTTATCTCGGTTTTCACCCCGCCATAGAAACTTTTGAGCAGCTTGATCGTCTTCGTTTACTTTAATCTGCAGGAACATTTCTCTAATGTCGGCTGTTGTCGCGTATTTTCTCTCGCGAAACATAAATAATATACCAGGCAATGATTGCAATAAGTCTGGCCCATCTAGCAGCTCATCGTTCAAGCACACTTCATTTGATCTTGCCGCTGCATCAAATACTAGACGAACTTTGCCCGGTTTATTAGGGTTGGTTACAGCAAAATGAGGTAAGTACCACTCTTTTGATGTCAATATTCTGGTTCTTTCAACAGGGCGGGCGTAATTCTTCTCCAACAGGTTATTTATTTGTTTTGTATATGACTGTTTAAATTCATACGACTGATCCATTTTCCGTTCAATGCTTTTAAGCCGCTTAAATGCCATATTATAGCTTTCTGGGAATTTCGTGTTATCAGTCTTCCACGGCAACCCCAGGTAGTAACGCCTTTCCCGTTTCTCTATTGTTGTATTGAACAATTGAACTGCACGTGCGTCGGCACTTGTTAACCTTTTTTTTATTATTTATACCCAAGGCATCTATTGCAAAACTTTGTTTTAATATCGCCTCTAGACGCTCATCTATTGTTTCTTTGTAAACGTCGCTTTCTGCCGCCTTTTTTATGCAGTGCAAAACACGTTCGTTGTCTTCCATTAAACTTCGTATAGGTGCTGTACCATGTAAAATCCAGCCTAATCGGGTTAAGATGCAGCCGGTTCATTTTTCTTCCCACTGTATACTTTTCTGGAAACGATTAGATGCCAATTGTCTGCTCCAATTAACAATTGTGGTTTAGCTTCGCCAATCATTTGTTGGAGTGGTAACTTAACCAAATGTTTGTAGCGCAAATTATCCGCGCTAATTCTTTGGCTACCAATATCGAAATCACGCATCGTTCGCGCTTTCAATGTGTAATTAGCCCCTCCGTCGTAGCGACTGATGTCAATTTTGACGTGTTGGCTCTCAAAATCTTTCGTTTGAGAACTAACTCCTTGAATTTTTAGCGGCTTGCTTGGCCCGCTCACACCTAATTCGTGGGCTAATTTTTCCGCGATAATTGTAATAGTCGAACCTTCGTCTAATAGGGCATGAGTTTTTACAACCTTTCCATTCCGGCCTCTTACAGTTACGGGACATACTTTCAGTAAGACGGCTTGACATTCATCCTTTGCAGTCACAGAGGTCGACATAACAACTTCAGCCTCTGAGTTTGATGTTGATGGTTGCACCAACAATGGTTGTTGTTGTGGCTTGTGAACTACCCAATGCAACAACCTATGGTGCGCTTTTTCACACCCATCAATGCCACATCGCTTTTTCCTGCACTGTGATCGTCGGTGATATTCTTCTAGGCACAAAAAACATGCCTTCGTTTCTCTCAATCTATCCCATCGTTGATTAAGATTCATTTTCAAAAACTCTTCACAATGAGTTGCATGATGGTTGCCGTTACAGCATAGGCATCTGAGTTTCTTCTGTGTTGAGTAAACGCGCGCATTCATTTTTGATCTAGGTTTACTTGTACCTAGCAATGTCGCTGTTTCTATCTTACGGCTATAGTTGAAAGTGAGTTGTAAGCTCGCTTCTTCTAAGAGGTATTTTGAGAGCGTAATGAGAATTGGTTCTTTCTCATTACTATTAGCCTTACCGTAGTCCGTCCATCTAGCCTGATAGTGCAGGTTAAGTTTAGACACTATTTCTCGGACTAAGGCCCCGTTACTCGTGTAGCTACGATCGTTTACACTTTTCAATAGCCACGCGATGTTTTGCACTTTTATTGCAAACTGGTTAAATTCAACCGCTGTATATCCCGGTCTGGGTAATCGCTTTATTTCTTCCAGCGCTTTATCAATTATGATCTCCGGTCGGCCATAACACTGATCTAGTGCATTCATAATAAGCTCGGGATCGCAGGCAGTACTCAATAATACCGCGACTGTTTCTTTAGCGGCTCCCGTAAGACATGTGCGTAATCTTGCCATGTTTTCCGCTTTAGAGTATTTGTAGAGCTTCGTGGAGTCTTCATAAGCAACTTTAAAGTAAAGCCAGTCGCAGAAGTTCCCGTTAAACTGCGGCAGATCTTGAGCATGTCGTACAGGGGGTCTGTTTGTAGCTATTTTTTCAAAGGCTCCGATGAGCCGTTCCATCACTTGATCATGGGATCGCGTTCTCGGCACGGAGGCCTCTTCGATAGGTGATATGGGCCGTTCTTTTTCCCACGACACAGTGTGTTTCAATGGCTCCACGCGTTCTGGGAGCGCTGTGTCTTCTTCCCTATCACCTTGAGATAGATTATTCATGCCGCTATGACTTCTTAGCCATCTATCTACCATAGCAGCGGAGTTGTTTCCGTTCCGCTGTTCTGGCATGCATTCGACGATACTCTCTTCGTCGTCTGCTCTGGGTAAGTCAACAGCGATTTGCTTCTTTAACAATTTCATTTCAAGCTCCATCTCTTGTTTCTTTAATTCGAACTTTTTTCTTAAATATTCTTTTTCTAATGCGATCAAGCGTTTTTGGACTTCGTATTCAGCTTGCCTTATACGGGATGCTTTCGACCTCATTGTATTTCTAGAGGTCTGTGATGCTGAACCCACAGGTAACAACTTTGAATCAACGGCTTCATTCCTCCGTATTGATTCAACTGACTCCCTGTCGTGTGTAATATCGGCTAGTCCACGTTCTAGGACTTTCGATGGTGATTCTAACGGCACGTTTTCTGTCCGTACATCTTCATCGATTTCTTCTGCCCTCTTAGCTTGTCGGCTTCTTGTGTTCATTTTGAAGTCGATTGTAATCTTCGCTTCGATGAACTGGTGGACAATGCTTTCCGTCGGCGACCCACAGCAGCAATACGTCGATGCGGCGAGTCACTTTGTACAGGCGATGAAGTCAACCCTCTGCACGTACTCCTGGGATCGCAGGTAGTACTACCGATGAAAATCTTCCTGGGATCGCAGGTAAAATTTTCCTTCTTCTCGGCGTCGATGCGTAAAGTATTATTCTTCTGGTTATCCGGCTTCTCGAAGGACCAAACTATAAGCGTACGATGTCGATCTGAAGCACCGCCGCTATTCTCGAAATGAAACTCAGAGTGGAGTTATAATTGTTACCGTTTATTGGTCGAACGTTAGTGATGGTGACACATAATAATATAGCGAAACGAGCTTATAACTAAAGTCCGTCCGGCACGGCTGCGTAAATCTATCTGGTCGTTATACAAATAATAGCTTAAAACTAAACCTAAAACTACCACGCTGGTCAAAGGGACCGACCGACCCTTCCGCTACCTGCGCACCCGCCGACCGTTTCCAAGAATAACATCTGGCTTGCAGCTTCGTTCGTCGGCTTTCTTAACTGTATTGTTCGTTGTCCGTAACAATAACAATACTCAAAGAAAGAAATAAAATAAAAAATATAATGAGAGATATCCAAAAAAATGTTTTTTTTCCCTTTTCCCATTCGGTTCGTTCCAAATGTGTAATGCGTGTGTTCTGTGGTTGTAATTGGCCCTGGCTCAGAATTATAAAAGGAATGTAATAATACTTGGTAGAAAATAATAATATTAGTAAAAGTTAGCAGTGTAAGTAATGAATTTTTGTGTAAAGGTGTAAAAGTAAATAAAATAAAATTAAAAGTAAAAACTAAGAATAATTGTTAAGAAGTAGATGAATAATTTTACTTTGGGCGGATTAAAAACTGGACTTCGTGGGATTTTTGTTGAGTAAGTAAATGTATCTTATAGCTGCGACTAAAATTTGACTTAATAATCGACGATTACCTGGGTCATTCCGAAAGGGTTCTTTGCATCTGGCACAAGTTGAACGCGATGAAGGCCGTTCAGGTCAGAAGTATCGATCCTATTCTTCAAGGCGTCAGTCCAGTATAATCTGCGTTCTACGTAGTCAATGGTTAGTCCATTCGGAAAACCTAGATCATGGTCGACGATAATTTTCCTCGTGGTTCCGTCCAACGCCGCTCTTTCTATGCTAGGATTCTCTCCCCAATCGCTCCAGTATAAGTAACTAAAATGAGATTTCAGCAAATTAGAAAAATAGGAAATATAGATTTATATTTTCTTCATATATTTAATAAGATAACAAACAACAAACCCTTTCGCTGGAAACACAGCAACAGATCGCGGTTCATCGAGGCCTGATATTAAGACTTTTCTACAACTTCCGTCCAGCTTAGCCACCTCCACCACCTTTGCAAAATCACACAAGCAAGTCAGCAAACGTTAACTGGAGTAGCAATTGTAACATCTTTTGAAACTTTTAATTAATCTAAGTAATACGAATATATACCTTATATTTATTGTCGGTCCAGTACAAATTGTCAGCGATCCAGTCCACGGCGAGACCGTTCGGTGTCTCCAGGGTCGTGTTCACTATCATTTTGTTTTCTGTCATGTTTTCCATATTCAATGTCCTGTAAACATTTATCGAATATCACAATCTAATTAATACCGATAGTTCATATTAACAATGCATTGCTGATGTAGATTAAGCTTTGTTGAAACTGAGACTAACCGGATCTCATGAAGCTTAACATCAGTGTAGAATATAAGTTTCTTATCCCAATGAAAGTCGATCGCTATAGAGCTCTCCATCTGTTGTACGGGAATATTGATATCTTTCAACTCGGGCGTGTCGAGGGAAATTATCGTCATGCTGGTACGGGTGGCGAACGTGAGGAAGTTCTCCGGGTGCTTCTTGCACATCTTGGGCTCCGGTGTCGTGTCGTTCTCAAAGAGCAATCCAGTGGGACATGCGCAGGAGAACCCTCGAGAGTTTCGTAGACAGAGATGTGAACATCCGCCATTGTTTGTGCCACAGACATTTTCTAGCTTGTAGTCACTCTTTAAAAAAAACATGTCGCAAAATGAAACAGGGTTATAAAAAAAAAACATTCACTGAATAATTACCGTTGCGTCTAAAAGAAAATTTAGCGGCGCATGCATTTGCTTTTGGAGATATAATATATAATATACATAACATACATACCTACATACATAAAGTTTGTAGTACATTTTAAGTTAAGGAAACTAGGTTTTAAAAAATCTTAGTTAAAATTACTTGAATCGCTCTAATATCCATCAGTCCCTCGAGATTCTCGCGTATAATGATCTGGTCCTGCACGTTGTTCTTATCGGCTCTATGCAGAGCCTTAGTTTTCCAGTCAGTCCAATAGATGTACTGTCCCACAATAACGATGCCGTACGGATATGGCACATTACTAAGAATAGTCTTTCGGGCCCATCCATTGAAGTCCGCGCTCTCGATAGTGTTTGCTTTAGCGTCGTTCCAGTAGATTCGGTTTTCTAAGCGATCTACGGCTAGACCATTGGGCCATTCCACACTTTGGGATACAATTACACGCCTGGAAGAAGTAGACTCGCTATAGAAATGGAATATTACGACCTTAAACTAAATATGTATGTTTGCTGGATAGTAATATTTTGATAAAGAAACCTAGTATTCTTATTGTTTTTCGGATGAACGCACTACGAAGCTTTTGAGTTAAAATACCTATGAGTTCCGTCCATGTCAGCTCTTTCAATCTTAGCCTCTGTTCCCCAGTCAGACCAGAACATGTAGCCTCGTTCGTAATGTAAAGCGATGCCGCGAGGAGAATCTGGAAAACACAAATTATAGCCAGTTCTTTTATGATAAAGTTGAAATATAATATTGTTAATATATTTAAGCATTGTTGACTCAGTTATTGGAGCGTGTCACTTTCAAGCCCGAGGTCCTGCGTTTTAATCCTAGCTGTGTACATTTATTTATATGTGCGCAATAAGCACTTGCTGAATTATTAGTATGTCAGGCTGTGGATCGTTTACTAGTCTATAAAGCAATAGGCCATTCCTTCTCGTCCTTTCTACGTACGAGTATATTCAAAAACATTTCATCATTTACCTAATCCTGTCCACACGAGCACTTTCCGATTAGAGCCATCTAGTTCCGCTACTTCAATGCTGTTTCGACCTCCGTCAGTCCAATAGATCTAACAAACAAAATATAGATGGTAAAAGATAAAGCCAAACAAAACGTTATTGTGTTTTTATCTTCTGTTAGACCAAATCAGGCGTGTTCTACTTTAAAGGCAAATAAAAGCCCTGACTTTTCCACTCACCTTCCTACCAGTAGAGTCGACGGCTAGGCTGTCAGCTGTCTGCAGTCCTCGGGTGATGATAGTCTTGATCTGGGAGCCAAATCTATCCCCACGACGAATAACCCGCTCCGCCGTATCCGTCCAGTAAATAAGACCTTACAAAATTAAATATTTTTTAATTAAGGAAATGCACGCCACGGTTTGATTCCTAGCTAAAAATATTTTTTGAGTTATCCTCGAAACGATTAATAAAGAACAAAAATATAAAAATCGCAAGATTTGTTGGAAATATATTAGTGTTGGTAATACATTATTATTATGTAATAATATCTTACCAGTCTGGTGATCGACATCGACTCCAAGAACATTTTTGAGTCCTCGGAATGGGAACACGACATCGACCAGGTACGGGACATCGAAGGAGACGAAACGAATGTCGAGGCGATGAGCGAATATCAGGAAATTCACTGGGCCGTCCGCGCATCTTTTACCGTCCTCCTGTCAAACGAAGCTATTTTTAATTACGTATTTTTATGGGAAACGTAATAAATAAAAAAGATAGAAAGATGTTAGTAGTACACAATCTCCAGTACAATAAGACGAAATTACCATAAGTTTAACTCCCGTAGGACACGCACACGTTCTTCCGTTGGGTTTCAAAAGGCAGAGATGTGAACATCCACCATTATTTCTGCTACAACTGTAAGAAACGCTTAATGTTATAATAAAAATTGTACCACATTTTCGCACGTATTTTTGTAGTATGTCCTCACCGGTTACTCCCACCCTTCCTGTCCTTATGGAACACCCTAACGTCCATCAGTCCTTCGACGCCTGCACCCAGCGTTCTGCGGTTCTTTCCGGTGAACTTATTCGCAGCTTGTATAGAGTTCGTATCCCAGTCCGTCCAGAATACTTCGTCACCGTAGAGGTCGAGTCCAAAGGGGTGTGGGAGGTGTTGACCTACAAAAAACGTTTCTATTAAGTTTTTCGGTTAATACTAGGTACAATCTATCCTTAGTAAACGGCTTACCAATTAATACAGCACGGCCGGTGCCATCAAGGTTTGCATATTCAATGGTGCGGTTGCCGTCAGTCCAGTAAATTCGATTGTTCGCCAAGTCCAGAGCCAGGCCGTTGGGCCACGTCATATCCCCGAATATCAAGCGCCTTCGATTACCACCATCCATGTCTGCCTTCTCTATGCACGGGTTTAGACCCCAATCTGACCAGTACATTACGCCACCTATAAAAATATTATCTTAATGCTCAAACATTAACAGAATATTAAAAAATGTAAACTAATTCTTATATCTTACGAAATAACACATAGATAGAAGAGATGTTGCAATATCAAAACTATATTATGCATTATGGTGCAAATTCAACACACAATGCTAAGTTAACAATTATGTACACTCCGAGACTTTATAATCGTTTTGGAAAATAAGCATTTGTTCTCTATAATAATAATAATAATATGTTTTTTCAGGATATGTTTCCTTTAAACTACATGTATTTAATGTCAATTTTGTCAACGAAGTAAGAATTCGTGTTTGTTAGCGTATTAGCTTATTGCGTTCTAGACTTTATAATAATAATAATGTATTTATTGCAAGAATATTGTACAAAAATGTAAGGTGGTACAATCGTAAGTAGGCATATTCTGCCACACACGATGGCGCGCAAATTTGTCTCACGCAAATAATCATTTATTGAATAGTACATAGTAGTACTTTGCGTATTACCTAGAGCGATTTTCATTCATTTTTAAATAAACAACAGACGCCCGAGCCGCGAATCATAAACGCCCTTTGTGAGGTAGTCCGTCGAGAAAGATCAAAGAAGTCCCTCAGACGCAGCATTGTGCGCGAGGTATATAAAATTCTTCTGCAAATGTAACGATGACTCTCGAACTTAGAATAATATAAAGTAATGCATGGAATTTCAAAAGTAATAGGTAAAGTTGAAATAAAACATAATATATTTTAAGTTCAATTGATTTATTGCATATGCAGCAAATTGCACATTTTAGGCATTTTGTTTAGTGAAGCGTAATTATGATCAATTGGATATATTCTAGAGATACTGCAATCACTAATGTGATTAATCCAAGTACAGTAGATCATACTCATTTCGCTTCTTCTTCTTCATGTAACGCATTCGCATTATGTATTATGGTAATTATGAACAGGTCCATTTCTTCATCGTCCTAAGACCATTGTTTTTAAAATCTTCTTCTAGATGTCCCATATGTTGACTTTGGTTTTGCCAATTATCTAGTGTAATTGGTTGAAATGTAACTTCCGTCAATTAAACTTTTTCTTTTCGGTCTTGGGGAACTTTTTGACGTAATCTTAAAACTTCTCGATGGTGAAATTTTAAGGTGTACCTACATTGGTGGCTCTTTATTTTGTTTCATTAAGTAAACAATGCTTTCGTCCAATAATAATATACTCGTATATATAAATAAGCCCCTTTTTCGTAACCAGAGCTGGGAATTTCAGCTTTTAGCTGCTCATAAATAAATAAATCGTTTATTTGCCAAGATAGTGGTACAATTAGATCGAACAACAAGAAAAATCCGCACAATCAGCCATATACAGGATGGCCAAAAAGTCGTGGATCAAACGCAAATAGGGGATAGATGAGGTCATCAGCTGCAAAAAATTGTTCTACAGGAGGTCTCTAAGCTCAACCTCTGCAGAGTTATAATTTATTTTGCGTTTTATAATAAAATTGACTTTTTTTACTAATTCTTATTAATATTCGAAAAAATCTACATCCTGTATCTTTTTCATAATATGCACTAGATTGGCACTGATGAGTTCTTGCGTTAGACATACTATTCAAAATTGTTTATTGAGTGTATTGAAGATAATATTAAGTTATACGATACAATTTTTTTTCAAATCAAAACTTTTTGTTTACTTCGGAAATGTGTGAAAAAAAATTATTAAAAAATCTACCGAAAAGTGAACCTGTATAACAACTTTTGGCGCATTTAATAGGGATTCTAAAAAGGTATTACACATTTCTTCGAGTGTTATGGATAAACCTTTCATCTAAATATACGACAGGTCTTTTTTCAAAAGTGCGGTTCTTTTCTAATGTACTTACCTTCTCTTATTTTTTAATGTATATTGCACAATAATTTATTTTCTTTTAGACTGACATCTTTTGTGTTGAAATCCAATAAATTTCCGTATTCCATGCAACGTTACTACGTTAGTATTACTATGTTTCCATAAAAATAATATCTTCCCGCAATACTGCACTGTAACTTACTAAGTAGGCAAAATTGTCAAAATTAATTCCGACTTCTTTCGTGAAAATTACGTTATTGAAAGCCGCGAACTTTGAATCAATCTGACTTCACGTCATCATTGGCGCGCTGCGTGCTCCTCTAAGAATATGCCCCCGAACCTCTGCAATCCGCCTTTTCTCTAGTCCTGCGCACGGGCCTCGTGCGCAATCAGGTTGATTAATTTGCCACGCCAAAATCAATCGTCAGTACGAATTCTCTTAACTCTATCAATGGTCCGAGTATACCAATTAAATAATTTTAATAAGATCTAGGAGGTTGTTAAGTGCGTGTGTGTATTGTAAATTTGTAAAAGAAGTGTGAATTTACATTTAGAACAAGTGCTTCGTTTCAGGGAAGGGAAAATGAAACATTTATCGTTTGTTATAAATAAGCAAGACTTTATTTTTTTTTATAATATGGAAAGCTTTGACTTTATCTATGACAGATATAATTATCTTGTTGATAGTTAGATAGAGGAATAATAGCACAATTTAGGATCAAAGTAAAGTGAAATAAACAAATTCCGTGCAGATTCTCTTATTCCAGATTCCGAATTGAGTATAATGTAATGAAACAAAAATTAATTTTAAACTAATTTGTTCCGTTTTCGAAAACGACTACAAAGTCACGCTACGTTTTCTTATAAAAAATACCGTTTCCCATGCTCTGCATTTTTGTCGTGTAATACTTTACGCATAATATTATATTGTCAAGAGGAAGATACCTTTAGGGTCGACCACGATGTCTCGTGGCTTGTCAATGTTTTCCCAAGCCAGGAGATTTCTCATGGTACCGTTTGAGTTGGAAACCTCTATCCTATTAGTGCCTGCATCTGTCCAGTACAACTTGTCTGTTATCCAATCGTAGGCTAATCCGGCCGGTGATACTACAACGGAAACATAATGTAGTGTACATACTTATTTGCCGATAAACTAATTTCAATCTACTGAATATTCTGAAGAAAATTGTTATTCGGGATTCCTTGTCATTGTGAAAAAATACTTAAAAATAATGTCCACAATTTCTAATTTTGAAATATCTCGTTTTGATAATTTAATTTTGTTAAAAAGTTCGGGTTTTTTTATCTGAACGTGTAGTTTTCAAGTACGCTGTTCCAGATATCTTCGTACTTACTTAAATTTGTGCTCACGACTACAGTCTGATTCGATCCATTAAGGTAAGCTCTATTTATGGTGTCTTTTTCCACGTCCGTCCAGAATATTCTCTTCCGGGCGTGGTCCCAGTCGAGAGCGACCGCCGATTTGATCGAATCCACCGGGATTACCTAAAATTATTTAGGGAACTGATAGTAAAATAGTTAGCAAGGAGTGAGATTTTTTTACTGATATTGTTGCCACGGGAAACCAGTATATATAATAAAGACAAGTACATTCGGTTCTTAGCTAAAAAGCCGTTCATACCATGTCCAAAGAGTCCACCTGCTTACGTGGATTGAGAAGTTTCAGTCTTATATCTTTTCTTCTTGCAAACAATAACAATTTTTCAGGCGTATCTTCACACGTGCGACTGAAACAAAAAAGGAATGAGCACTTTGCCTTGATTTCCAAACAGGAAGAATGCAGTGAATACTATTAACAACGCACCCGTTAGATTTAAGATTAAAGCCGATCGGGCATCGACAAGTGCAGCCGTTACTGTTTGGGAGACAAAGATGTGAACAGCCGCCGTTGTTTGAGCCGCAACGGTTCTTGTAGGTGGTCGACTGTCGTAAAGGGTGGAAACTGTAATAGAAGAGACGTGTTACACCTTTAGCCGCGTTTTTCCGCCTTTTTAGGGGATTTATAGTTTGTACTTACCTCTGTATGTCCATGGGCACTTGTAAGCTCGCGTGTATTGTCTGCATGCCCATGCCGGTTTTCTTATTGATAGTCGATATGCTCTTGGTGTGCCAGTCTGTCCAGTAGATGGCGTCTTCGAATACCGTAAGTGCGAAGGGATGAGGTACACCTTTGCTTGTTATCTACGCGATAAAAAGTGTTTTAATTAGGAATTTTATATTATAAGATAGCTAATGTGCGGAACGAGAAACCAGAAGTATTAATCTTAATATAAAACTATGTCATTGTCATTAAGTGATATACTCAAGAACAATGGGCTTATTAAACGATACCGGAAGCCGTACTCAGAGTCGTTCATTGAATGATTCCTAAGAGTAGATTTCTTATTTTATATATGAAAGTGTGTGTGTTCTTGAAGGTAAACGTAACTAATTTCTATAAATAATAAAAACTGACCCGTTTCCTATCTCTGCCATCAAACGAAGCCTTTTCGATAGCGTGGTGTTTTGCATCTGCCCAATATATCTTGGACTCCGTGTAGTCAATAGTGAGACCGTTGGGCCAAAAGATTTCGTCCACGATGACGCTCTTACGTCTACTGCCGTCCATATCAGCCCGCTCGATTTTAGGATTTGGCCCTAAATGGAGAGTATTATTGTTATTTATTTATTTTATCAGATAAAATAATCCATCATTATGTTAGTATAAACTTACAAGGGGCGAAAAAGGTGATCTTCACTTGTTTACTACAACGAGCAAATTTAGGAGCCAACATATTACCTCTGGCCGCCACTGGCCTGCGTTCCAGTTCTATATCGATATTATCTTTTAGATTTTCAGATAGCATATGCCCAAGATATTTAAATTCCTTCACTCTCTCGATGCCAAGACTATTTAGAGAAATATTATGAAACATTCCCGAGCATATACCATCTCCGCCAAAGACCATGTATTTACATTTATTTACATGTAAATGAGGCCATGCTTACAAGCGTATACCTCACACACACGCAGCATTTCTGTAATCGCCCCTGCTGTCGGAGCCAGCAGCACCATATCATCAGCATAGCTAAGGTTGTTGATGCTTACTCCATTAACTCTACAACCTTCACACATGCTGCTAAGTTCTACGATCAGGTCGTTAATGTACAGATTAAATAGTTTAGGAGATGACAGACCACCCTTTCTTACACCACTCTCCGGCCTATACGATGTAGAAAAAGCGTTAGACCACTTCACAGTGTTGTTCTGGTTGGCATACCAAAATTTAAATATATTTAACAGTTGAGTTGGCACACCCCTGTCCTCCATCTTACTCCAAGTATAAGTATTGATTTAGAAAAAAACTAGCTAACAACTTTTTAGAATGTGTAAGAACTAAGACTACCACTTAATTCCAAGTTGAATATTGTCTTTTTGTGACACGCAATTTTTAGCTTGCACATCAGCCCTATGGATATTAAGAAACCCCCACAACCAGTCCAGAAGAAGTCAAATCAGGGTGATACCAACTTACCCCAATCCGTCCAGAATACGAGAGCGTCTCCTGGATGTACAGCGACGGCCCTGGGTTTGTCCAAATCACTGGCCGCTAAAACCGCCCGCTGTAATCCATTCAACGTTGCCACTTCAACTCTTCGCGTCCCCGAATCCGTCCAGAAGAGAAGATCGTGAATCCAATCTACCGCCACCCCGCTTGGTGTTTCCAATCCCCATCGTATCACATCTGTTGAATTCCACATATTTAGCGTACGATTATGGAATCTAAACTGATTTTATTAGTCAGATTTATTTATTTTGATCTCGTATATCCTAATGGTGGAATCAGGTTCGATTGCACAGAACGCCGATGACTCACATGCGGTACAAAATAAACTATAAAACAAATGTCTCTTTTTAACTGTGGAACATTAAAACTGCACATAAATAAATAACTGATAAAATATTCTGTAAAGCTACCTGTCATATTGTTGCTCTCTAAGGGCGCCACTCGAATGACCTTCATGTTGTTTTCAGTCCAAAAGAGTAATTTCTTTTTATAATGGTAGTCCAAAGCAACTGCATTGTGCAGTCCTTTTAGAACTGTCACGTAATTGTCTCCGGATAACCACACCTTGAAAAGTGGAAATATTTACACTAACTTAAAACCCGAATTTAGCGTTTATATCTGTTTATCATCTAGGATACATAATTTATTTTACCTTACGGACACCGATACTGTTTGAAAATAGCAATGTAGGTGATTCTCCGGTTGCTTTACAAGAACGTTCGTCCGGTCGCAGTACGTAGCCTGTCATACATCCACATCGGAAGCTGCCTTGAGTATTGGAACACGTCTGGGAGCAAACTGGGTCCTGCTCGTACATACATTCGTCGATGTCTCGGCAACTGAATATATTGTATTGTAAACATAAACATTTATAGCCTGATTTTTCAGGGCAATAAAAAAAAATATATTTTTATGTTTTACCTACAAGAAGGTAAATCTAAATACTTACTTACTCAAGTGATTTAATACAAGAATAACAAATATTTCAATATCACGAACAATATTATCTTACCAGGTTTAGTAAACCTTAAAAAAAAATGTTATCTTTACTTGTGCGTTTTTTATTGTTTGTGATGAAAAGGGACGCAATTATCACTCGCGTTAAAACCACTAATTAACCACACTTTAATGTGAGCACTGCACTTAATAAAATATATACATTCACTAACAAATAAAATGTATATGTATAGACTCAGATGTTCAGACTCGTACTAAAATTGAAAAATGTGCCTGGCCAAAAAAGGTTTGTAATCTCTGACATGTCAAAAAATGATAGCTGTCAGAATTCTACGGAATTAAAAATCAGAGTATAGTATTGTTTATTATTTGATATTATATTTAATCATAGAGTCCGCGCCACCACTGAATGCCGATAGACGCGGCGCTAGCGAGTAGCGCAACGTAGTTATATGTTGCTAGTGCTAGGTGCAATGCTATTTTACCCCAACGTAACTTAAATTAATATGAAATTCGCGAACTACTCTCCAAGATTTGCTTCTAATGTTTTACCTTAAAACGAATAAAATAATATTTCACTGTAACGACAAATTGAGTTCCAGAGTTCCCGTCGACAATGAGTGGTGTCGCGGACTCTAAAGAGTAATTTAGGTTGAGTCAAACAAGTGATACGATAATGAAGCGTCAAAAAAATGTTTAATATATATATATATAAATAAAAACTTCATACCTGTAACCGTCGTCATTCAGGAGATAACCTATCGGGCAAGAACACGCCGGTTTTCCATCGTGTGTGGTGATACACTCCCTCTCACATTTATCTCTTCCGGAACATTTTCGCTTCTTTGGACATTTCTCTTCGTCGTCACCCTGAGGACAGTCCTTCATGCCATCGCAGACGTGTTTTCTGTTCACACAGTTACGGAATGCTGATTTTGTTTGTAATTTGCACATGTATTGGTCTTCTTCGCAGTTTACTTCACAATTTGTTTCATCCTCACCGTTGGAGCAGTCGCGGACGCCGTCGCATAACCAGGTTTTCTACAAAGCCGTGTTTGGTTACATTCTATGTCGTGAAATACTTAAATGCTTCTTAGGAATTCTTACCGATATGCAACGCCTGTCCTCACACGTGAACTCATCTGCAGTGCAATTCCGTATTCCGAGTGCTTCGCAGTTGAGCTCGTCGTCACCGTCCGTGCAGTCTCTGTCCATGTTGCATCGCCAACTCTTAGGAATGCATCTTCCGTCGTTGCACCTATATTATATTATTTGTAAAAGTAAATTTTCATGTAAGCTGACGATCTCTATCTCTCATGTTTGATTTTTCATATTTTACGTTTAAAAAAGGAATAAGGCAGTGTTATGCAATTAATAAATGTTGATCACCGAACGATCAGTGAAACAGATAAAAGAAATAATTAGTCAACTTACTTATACTCGGTGGTTTTGCAATTTCCAGGCAGAAGAGGGCAAGAGTCCTCGTCGGTCCAGTCACCACAATCGTTGTCACCGTCGCACCGGAAGTCTTTACGCACGCACTTTCCATTGTCGCACTGAATTTCGTTTTCGCCGCATCGTAAGAGATCGACAGCTGTACATATTACAATAACACTGCATAAAAGTAAATATTCATTAATTAATGTATTACCTATACTTGGGAATAACTTAAGAGCATATTTGGAATTCCTTCTGACTCCGATCGTCGATATTATCTTACTGCATCTCTCAATGGGCTCAAGCAGCATCGTCTTCCATCATGGAATTTAAGCGTGCTTAATCTTGTCTTAAGATACCCTATATAAATCCTTTTCACTACCCAGATCCTAAATTTTACGATGAGAAAAAAAACGTGTGCACACATAGGCACAATAGTACCCGCAATTCAATGCATAATAATTTGTATTTACAGAACGCCCGATTCTGACGTATATAGCTTTTTTAATATATTTCAAACCCTTTTGCATAAATTAAAAAATAAAAAACAGAGAATTATTTTATGTGGTGACATGAATATAGACATTTTAAAGATAAACAATATAACTATGAATTACAAAGACACTATCTCAAAATTTAAAATGAAACACTTTATTAATGAACCGACTAGAAATTTATCTTGTATTGACCATATATTGAGTAATATTAAGGGTGCTAAAGGCGAAACCCTCCGTTTATATATGTCAGATCATGATACGTGCCAAATATTAAGGTTTCCCGTCACAAAAACAAAGCCAATTATCTTAAAGTGGTGTATATTTAGAAGAGATTACTTCGAAAACATGGAAAAGTTTCGGGGGGGCCTTCCAATTTTTTCCTGGGCGAGGTATATGAAGAAAGCTCTTGCGATAAAGCTTTCCAAATTTTTCATGACAATTTATCATTATTTTTTTATCTCTGCTTTCCAGTTATTAAAGTTAATGTTAACAATAAAATGACAACACCCAAGTGGATCACACCAAGACTAAGAATTTGTAGGCGTATGAGAAAAGCACTAATCTTCAAAACGTTCATTCTGTAAACCCATCCCTTATTTCTAACTCCTTGTTCATGTGACGAAGTTTTCAAAGCTATAAATAATCTTAATAATACTAAAGCAGCAGGTTATGACTCAATAACAACAGAAGTGTTAAAATTCTCTTCACAACAACTAGCAAGTATTCAAACCCTCCTCATAAATTTATCTTTCACACAGGGTTTTTTCCCAGTTCTTTAAAATTATCAATAGTTAAACCTATGTTTAAAAAGGGTAATAGAGAGGATATTAAGAACCACAGACCTATAACCTTAATACCAACTTTAGCTAAAGTGTTGGAAAACTTTGACAATAGGTTGTGCCTTTTTAGGAAATTCAATGTTATAAATGATGAACAGTACGGTTTTCAAAGAGGTAAAAAGAAGAAATAATTTTTATATAAAAAGGGAAGAAGGGTGTAGAGAGAAGAGGGAGGTGGGGAGGGATGTGTGGGGGGGGGGGTTGGGTGTGGTGTGGGGGGGGGGGGGGGATGTGGTTTGGGGGGGGGGGTGGTGGGGGTGGGGGTTGGATGGGTGGGGTGGGGGGAGAGTGTTGGGTTGTGAAAGGGAGGGGGAGGAAAATTCTGTGGGAAAAAAAATTATATGGAGGGAAAAGATATAGAAAGAGATAGGAAGAGGGGGGGGGTGTGGAGTGAGTAAGGTCGCCGCTCGGGGGTTTTTTTTGGCATTTTTATTTATTTTATATAGTTTATTAATTAATGTGTTGGTTTAGTGGAAAAATATTTAAAGAGGAAGATAGATTGATGGGTGTGGGTGTGGGTGAGGATGAGAAAAGAAAGAAAGAGGAGGAAGATAGTGGAGGGGAAAAAAAATAAAAAAGAAATTAGAAAGAAAAAAAAAAAATAAAAAAAAAAAAAAAAAAAAAATATTAGAAAAAATAAAAAAAAAAAAAAAACAAAAAAAATAATAAAATAAAAAAAGGTGATAAAAAGGGGGGTTAAAAAAAGTTGAAAAAAAAAAATATCAAGCAAAAAAAGACCAGATAAAAATAATATAAAGAAATATCATTACTTATTTTTAAATTTTTTGGGAAGGGGGGAGGGGAGAAGGACGAAAAAAGAAATTATTTTGTTCGGAGGTGGGGGGGGGGGGCGTCTGTGTGGTGCGTTGTTGTATTGTGGGGGGGGAGGGGGTGGGGGTGTGAGGTTTTTTTTTTATAAAAAAAAAGTGTAGGGGGGGGGGGGGGGGGGGTGGGGGGGTGGGGAGAGGTGGCAGATTTTGCTTGTCGGTGGCTGTAGTGAGAGTGAGGGTGGAGGGTGGATGGGGAGGGGGGGGGGAGGAGAAAAAAAAAAAAAAAATAAAAAAAAAAAAAGAGAGAGTTTAAATATAAAGGGGGGGGAGAGGGGGGGGGGTGGGGGGGGGGGCCGCCCCGCCCTTCTCTATAAAAAATAGTAAAAGAGGGTTGGTAAATAATTTAAAAACCAAGGGCTTAGGTAAGGTTGGTGGGGTGTAGTGTGGAGGGGAGAGGTTGGGGGTTTTGGGGGGGGAGGGGTGGTTAGGGAGGGAGTAAATTGTATAAAAAAAGTGAGTATTAGTTTGGGGTTTTAATATAATGATTGTGTTATGTTTTTTTTTTTATAAAAAAAAGAAAAATTATTTATAATATTTTGGTTTTTTTTTTTTTTTGGGGGGGTGTGCAAATAAAAAAAAAAAAATATGTTAAAAAAAAAAGACAGTGTTTGTTTTAGAAAAAAATTTTATTTTTTATTTTTTAAATATATTATAGCCTGCCCCAATAGAGGGAGGGAAAGGAGGAGTGGGGGGGGGACAAACCAATAATTTTTTACCTATTCCTTGAAAAAAAAAGGGTTTTTTTTTTTTTTTTTTATTATTTTTATTGGATTTTAAGGCCCAGGGGTTATTTTTACTTTGTTTTGGCAAAATTTTTTTTGGGGGCCTTTAGAGGGACGTTTCCCTCTTCGAATTGCATTTTTCTTGTCCATTTTAATGGTCAATCGAAACTATATAATATGTACCTACTAATCATGATATTTTACAATAAACACTATTTTTTATCACATTGGAACGGGTTTTCTCGTATAGAAATCATTATTTTGGTTTAAATGAATACGACTCAAAAAACTCTACGCCATGACAGACAATGCAACTTGTCAAAAACACAGAGCAAGCGCTCACTACTACCAGCCCAGACTGTTTTACTGAAGTTTGAAAAGATATTCATGGTGTCGGTTTTTTGTGACGGTGTGCGGGTGTCGGCTTTATGTGACCGTGTGCGCGCATCGTAAAAATTTACTCTTATCATTTTTCCCTATAGCGCCAAAAGAAGTATAACTTCAATAACATCCTGTGCGTTTGTTGATTTTCAAAGGATTATCTTGGAATGCCATCTCAACTGGTAAAATGTGCTCAATATAAATTATTCTAGTACCTATTTAGATGAAAACTACGTCCGGTCTCGCAGAAACCTTTTAAAACCACTGTCGAACCATCGCGGCTTAGAAGTAGGTTAGTATATGTCCGAACCAAAAAGCCTAGTAAAATCTAGTTTATCTATGCTACTACAGACGGTCTTGATACGAATAATAATTAAATCAAAACATTTGTTAAGATCCGCAGCCCCATAACGGGATACATATAGGATACATAGGGATATAGACATATTAAAACATTTTGACAGATGGTATGAATGTTGGTGTTCTGTTTTATTTCTATCACATATGAGCGTTGCTTTTCACACTTACGGCAATGGATCTCGTCCGAGCCGTCAGGGCAATCGGCCTCCTTATCGCATCGCCAGTGAAGAGGTATGCAGTCGCCTGATATACACGTGAACTGATTGTCTCTGCATCTAGACACAACACAAAAGTAACGATTACTTTAATCTTGTCCTAACGCCTGGCTTCGACCTTCGTCAAAGACAAATGAATAAAGCGGCCAGTGAGAAAATGGAAATACATTCCTAATCTACAAAAAGTAAAAACAAGGTTATTGTGATATAACTGCATACTACTATTGCAACAATTGTACGAAGCTGTGTAATTTTTGGGAATTTAATTATCTTTTATTCGCCGAGGTGTTGACTGTTAGACTTATGTAGGTAAATATGAGTAAGTTTTTTACTTGTTGTTTAACTTAAAATAACTGGTACTATGCTCGGCGACAGTCAAGAAATTTTATTGCTAAGTAGAGAAAATTCTATTTCCGACGAAGACTTATTCAATTAAAATGGGATAATACGTTAAGGTCAAGAGCTGCTAAGAAATAACATAATTAAAAACAGTTTGTTTCAATACATCGCTCGCCCACGGAAATGGATATATATCGGGTCGGGATGGCGCAAGGCTTGTGTGGGCGCGTTGCCATGGTGACGGGAAACCCGCCCGCCCCGGCGCGCTCTCCTCGCCGCCCGACGCAATATCGATTCGCCCGGTGCAGGCTAGCCTCGATTTTAACGATACCTCACAAACGGTTTCAGAATTATCTTATTACCCTTCAGATTCAGACTTTAATAGATCTGGTAAAGTTTGATTATTTTAAACAAAATATTTAATTAATTACACGAAATCAATTATTCACTTATCTAAACTGCGACTGTCGTGTCGACGGATTCGAATCCGTGCTTTTTTTATCTATTTGTTCAAAACTAATTCCTTACTTAAAGAGTACAATTAATTTGTACAAGCACATAAGTCGCTAAGTCCAACAGCTTTATAGCGAATAACCGAACTCATTCTGAAACTTCTTTAGTATTTTATTTGAGTATTATTTTTTACTAAGAAAAAGACTGTACACAGTGTATGTACAGAAGAATATTAAATCTTAACGTTTAACCTGATTCCATAAAGGTATAGAGGCTAAATTATTTCATAATATGGTCAGATCGTTCCGTTAAAATAGTAATTGAAAATGTATTTAATGAAATTTCGTTACATAATGTTACGTAACTCACGAAGGCGACGAAGGATGATATCACGTAATGTATGCAAAATAAATCTATTGACGTAACTCGACGTCGACGAGATCCCCATCAATGGGATTATTTCCATCTCGGCAACCATTACCATACTACAGAGTACAGTGGATAGTTTTAGTATTCATCAACCATTGAAATAAAATGTATT